ATGAACGGCACAAGCGAAAAACCAGCAATGCCAGGGGTTTTTTTTTTCATTTTCTAGGTTATTGTCCTAGCATGATTCCTGGCTGGGTCTTCTTTAGTCCATCTAAGTCACATACGGAAAACCGGCGCTGCCAGTCTCTGTGAGAGTTAGAAAAAATAGACCTCAATGGAAGAACTAGCGATGTCAGGATGTTAACAACGGAAAAACCAGCGATGTTGAGCAAACTTTTCTTTGTTCCGTCCTTTGTGACTATTCAGTGACCATATTTATTTCAGTGAAAAAATGGTGAGATATAATAAGTTGAATGCCCCTGTCAACACTTTTTCACAGGCGCGTTCTCCGAGTGTAACGCCCATCCTCGAAAGGGGAATGGGAAATTCATGTAAAAAGTGCCTTTCCCAGGCCAAGGACACAACGTTGGACCAGCTCTCTGGTTGGACCAAGCTGAGACTCAAACCTCGCAGTGGTCTTAAATGCTCTGCTAAACGGGAAAATTGTTCATCGAGCACTCATGTTACGCTAGATTTTTCGAAGAACTCGTGCGGCCCAAACAATGAAACATCTCTGCGAACGATCACGGCAGCTATCTTTCTTCTCCTTTAAACATCTACTTAGTGGTTAAACAGTACAACTGTACTGTTACGAGACTGTCAGCAAAAAGGGTGGAGGCGATGTAGCCAGCATGCTGCTACATTACTTTCTACATATTCTGAGAGACATGACATTGGTGAATGAGAAGGTCCCTGTTGGGTGGAGCAATGCTAGACAGTCCTTCGGAAACCCGCTCAGCTCCAGATAGAGGGGATGACATAAGTCGTATTCCAGAATGTATCAGAAAACCTTAAACCACACTACCGTGTCTCTTGCCTTATACAGTCCGTGCTCGCTTTAAGCTCACCGGCTTAAAGCACGTTTCGGACTCAAGCACGCTAAACGGCTCTTACCAAATTTTTGCTATATAAATTACATGCCTTTAAGCACGGTAACTTCGGCTTCAAGCACGCTTCATTTACAAGACAGTCAATATTTTCATGATGACCCATCGAAGTTCGAACACAGTCTACACCGCAGCAGTGGAGTGTGTCAAGAGAAACACAAAGAACGCAAGTAATGGACACACACACTCACACGGGCGGAGAGGAAGGCAGATGCACACAGCCGCGCGCGCGGACATAGGATCTAGCCTAGGCCAAAGCTATACACGACCAAAAAAAATACAAAGAGAGTCGGGGAGACGAGAAAGGGAGGCTGGCTGCGATTTCACCTTTGACCCTCGCTATCCATTAATCCTGATTGTGTATCACGCGCGAGGTGGGATGAAGGCGGTGGTATGAGTGGCATAGCGGGCAGTGGTACGCACAGGCAGTGTGTAGGCCTAGTGTGCTGTATCGTGACTGGCCGTCTAAATTAAATTTTCATTTCCCATTCGACCACAAAACAAAACAAACAAGCGAACATAAACTATCATGGCAGGTGTCTAAATAACAGAGCACACTTTTGCGGGACCGCTATAGGTCTACTTACAAACAAAGAGAAATAGCACGAGAAATTTTCTACATGGAAATCTCTGGATTATGTCTACTTCGCACTCAAGCACGCTTCGGCTTTGAGCACGCTTAAGCTTTCTCCCGACGACTGTGCTTAAAGCCGGCATGGACAGTACTCACTCGACCCCTGCTTGAAATCTACATCTCACAGGCCCATCCACAGCTAATGCAGTATAGAAAGAGATGGAATGGCTCGTTCCACACTGCAATCATTATGAAGCTGGCGGAAAAGAAGCGCGCTGCTTGACTCCAACCCTTGAAAGCCCCCTATAAGAGCCCGCTGACCAACAAAGCTGCCATATACATGTATGCAGACATGAAGATTCTGGGTAGTTGCTTTGGGAGATAGGCCTACAATAAAAATCCAAATCTGCCAATATTACTGCACTTAAAAGGCAAACAATAAAGATCAAAATCTGCCGATATCACAAAAAAGACGAATTTTCTAACAATGCCTTGTCCGAGTACGGTAATTATAAGCTTTGGGTGTCAAACCTGATGAATGACCAGGGCCAGAAATATCATTTCAAAAATTATATAGACGCCTATACGGCAAGGAGAACACAAAGAGCAGGAAAAGAATTTGGCCAAGCTAAGATAAGATAGGATAATACTTTATTATCCCAGAAGGAAATTTCTCTTGGCTGTACCGGACCGTTAAAAAACACCTGCAGGTACATACCTAAAAACATTTAAATTATATATTACTCTAATTAAAATTCAATATGAAAAGAGAAGTAAAGCTGACAAAATAGACATTTACATCAGATGCATCATTTAACCACATGCAAGAATTTAATTACAAGACCTTTGGAGTTATATCCTACATGAATACATAGATACATACTCTAAAGACCGACACACATCTATGCTCATTCTGACAAAAGCCTTATATATGCTATCAGATGGTACTATAGATTTTGAATACATCATCATGTTCATAAAGCTCACACACAAAAAAAGAAAGAAAATAGGTGTGGCAGATGTCCCTAGATTTATACTATGACAAAATTGACTACGACAAAATTGGAAATGTGCTGGTCATCGCGGTAGAAGAGGGTGTACAGGACAAATAGATCCACTGAATGGAGACCAAAAACAGGAAAACGATCAAGAGGAAGACCAGATGAAACTACCGAGATGCTAAAGAGCGCAAACGGGTAACCTAGATACGGAGAGCTGCGATAAGCTAAAGCAGTTGTCATCGTTCGATGGGAGGGGGGGGGGGACACTAAACAAACAAACAAAAGGCAACCCCCTCCAAAAACAACAACAACAAACAAACAAAAACAACAACATAACAACAAACGAAAAATGCCTACCAGGATTCACTTTTTTGAGTTTCTGTATAAGTCGTTTTTTTTACAATTTGGCTGATTTCTATTTTAAGCAGAGTCTTTTTAATTTTGTTTTACGGCACTTGCAACACAATAAGGTATAGGCTAAGATTAGAAGTGTTACAAGAGACCGCAAAAAACACCCCCCAAAAATGAAGATCGAAAGATTTAAGGACGATCGATCATGTTTGATTAGAAAGAACGAGCAAACCTCACTAGATCACCCGCCAACCACCCGCAAGCAGAGTTTGTGGAATGGAAGAGGAAATCCCTGATTTGTAACAGGAAGAAATTATATTTATTGGATTATTGGACGGATTAGAAAAAGGCGGGCGTGGCGGAGAAGGTGCGGTGTGGAGGGAGTATGGGGTGAGGAAGGAGACGGGGTACATGGAGAAGGAGGTTTCAGATAGAAGTTTCTATTCACACCTGAGCTGTATTGTTATACACATTGTTGATGATATTTAATCCCAAACAGTATTGCAGAAAAAAGAAAGCAACATGAGGAAACAACCATTTCTTCTTCGAAAATCTTTTACTTTTAGAGCTCCTTAGTGTAAATCTATACTATCGGATTACCGCAGCTCTTTGCTGTAAGCATATATATACAACTGTTGCTCCCTTCACGATATTTGTTTCACGTGATTCTCCCCACAAAGCTTCAAAATGGCTGACATGGGAGGTGATCAAAACAATCCCTTTTCTTTTAAGAATTTTGTTAGCGACAAAGACAAGAAAACAAAGACGACTGATGGTTTTAGTGGAGACGAAGATGATATTTTCGGATTAAATCAGGCCAAGCCTAAGAGGAATGAAAAAGCGAAAGTAGATCCAGGTGGTAAGTTTGATTTGATTAAGAACTCAACTCTAAATTATAAAGTTAAGTCGGTAAGATTGTGAAGAATCGGGGTGTCTACGTACACGGTAACCGGGCGCGTAGCCTCAGCTCAGGGTCTACGTACACGGTAACCGGACTCGTAGTCTCAGTATCTACGTACACAGTAACCGGAAGGTCCAAAAGAGTTCACTCAGTCGAAAAGAGAGTCTCTTTTATTGTTTTTGCACGCAAGTAGGGTAACTCTGTTCGCAAAGTTCGCGCTTTTTCGAAGAGGTCGCTTTAGGGTCAACCGCTCTATAGTCCAGCATGATACTCACTAAATTTCATAACAGAGCATCCAGACTAGGGCCAACCGCTCTATAGTCCAGCATGATACCCATTAAATTTCACAACAGAGCCTTTACTTGAATCGCTTTCGTTACCACCCAGAAATTTGTCAGTGTAATTGTCTGATAACGCAACAATTATTGTAACATGCAGGTTCGGCATTACAAACGGGGTGTCGCCATGAATATAAATCAATATGTGCCATCGCTGTGTCGTCTCTTATGGGGGCAACATAAAGAAAAGAAAGTTATACAAGCGTCTTGTGGCGCTCGCAATTGTGACCGGTCAATGAACCTGCGCGCTTTTTGAGCTCTTCAAAGTAGATCTACAGGACTCAGGAATGGGGGGAAATTATTGATTTTTTTAAAGACGCACTCGAGGATAGGGGGAGGGCTGGACGCAACACCAATTTTGATTACTACTACAGCTCTTTGCTAAGTAAAGTGTACGTTGGTGCAGGCCTTGTGTGAAAACGGCCAAAGTCTAGCATATCTGCGTTTGTTGCCATTTTATTGTCCAAAAGTTGCCACAAAAATGGCAAAAGTTGCCAAAAAATTTGCCATTAATTTTAAAGCTTTCAACTAGCTGTGACGACGTAATATATTGATAGAGAAGGTAGCAATCTGATTAACGCAACATTTGTAACATACAGGTTGCCTGACCGGTCAGTGAACCTGTACCTTCGCATCACATTTTGAGTACGTGTGTGTACCAGTGATCGTTGGGGTCACCAAAGTTCATTCAAAGTGTCCGCTGCGTTCTCTAAGTCTAATGTTCAGTGCTTCCAAGCGTGGCATCGAATCCCGGTCCCGAAAAGGTTTGGGATTTTTTCTTTCTCCTAGGAAAAAATAAAATTTTAAAAAAGATTAGACTCACAGACGAAGGAAAGCCACTACTGAACTTTAACCAGGCCCAAATTGGTAAAAGGAAAAGTATAGGCTATACTAAGGCCTACTTTGTACAGAGCTCCTCTTGGGGCATGCTTCATCACCGCATAAAAAAACTACAAAGCAACAAGAATAAATATGGGAACAATTTGTTGGTCAGTAGAGAAGAGGACAACAACAACAACAAAAACGAAAAAAAAACCCGTCCAGGACCGGGATCGAACCCACGCTAAAAAAATAATGGTTTGACTTCAAGTAAGCGCAGACGCGCTGTCTCTTCGGCCATCAGAACTTCCGATATAACGATGTGCAGATTAAGCTTGATATTTTACACACGGCGACACGGCGTTTTATTTATCACTGGCGCTAATCGCAACGCGGCGTTTTATTTATCACTGGCGCTAATCGCAACGCGGCGTTTTATTTATCACTGGCGCTAATCGCAACGCGGCGTTGCAAATAGGCACTTCCTACTTGGCTACTCTCTCTCTCTCTCTGTCTCTGTCTCTGTCTCTCTGTCTCTGTCTCTCTCTCTCTCTCTTTCTCTCTCTCTCTCTCTCTCTCTTTCTCTCTCTCTCTCTCTTCCTCTCTCTCTCTCTCTTCCTCTCTCTCCTCTGTTTTCTGAGTCTCGTTATCTCTCTCTCGTGATAGTATTACATGTTTAGTAAACATCTATATTTTAGCTTTCTGTTCCAGATTCGCAGATTTTCAGGGTCACTGCGTTTTACTCTCCCTTAGGGAAGATGACAGGGGGTAGATTGGGATCATTTTTGGGATTACATTCCGCTCACAACACACAAAAAGCGGAGTGAAAAAGGAAGAAGGTCACAGTCATGAAGGAGGTGAAGCAGTCACCGTGCACCTAGCTCGAGCCCCCCCCCCGAAACAAAATACCCGGTTACCGTGTTCGTTGATAATGAGAGGCGCCCGGTTGCCGGTTACCGTGTACGTAGATATTGAGGCTACGCGCCCGGTTACCGTGTATGTGACATTGAGATGACACGCCCGGTTGCCGTTACCGTGTACGTAGACACTGAGGCTACGTGCCCGGGTACCGTGTACGTAGACACTGAGGCTACGTGCCCAGTTACCGTGTACATAGACACTGAGGCTACGTGCCCGGTTACCGTGTACGTAGAAACTGAGGCTACGTGCCCGGGTACCGTGTACGTAGACACTGAGGCTACGTGCCCGGTTACCGTGTACGTAGACACTCCGTTGAAGAATACCGGACCAGGGGACTGACTTTGCCTATGTCTCAACCTTAGGAATTCATAATTTTCCAGTTTTTAATATCTCTCAATGGAGAATCTCGGACCGGTAGATCTATTCATTAAAAGTTATTCGCACAGCACAATTGTAAGGATAACTAACTACAGTTGTTCGGACTATGTACTCATAACCGCAGCCTACCAAAATGCTCAGGAGATAGATCTCTAACTAGGCCTTTCATGTGTAACAGATAAATTTGGAATACAGCTACTTTGAAAATTGGAAGTGCCTATTTGCAATGCCGCGTTGCGATTAGCACCAGTGCTAAATAAAACGCTGCTTTGCGATTAGCGCCAGTGCTAAATAAAACGCCGTGTCGCCGTGTGTAAAAAATAAAAAAGGATATAGAAAGTTATAAGTATAAGCGTCTTGTCGGGTTCGTTCGCCACCGTGACCGGTCAGTGAACCTGCTCGCATCGCAACTTAACTCTTGTCCTGCGTCTGTGCCGAGATGCGAATCGCTATGCTTAAGACCTATTCCCATTGTTGGCGCAATGTTTTCCAAGGGGCAAAGTGACACTGAGTATCTGCAAGGGCTCTGTGCATAGAGGATGTTAATGTCAGATTAGACAACAGTTGTATTGACGTTAAGTGTCGGGGTCGGATTGCTTTTGTTTTTTATATATTCCAAGAGTTGGTGTAGCTGAACAGCACATAAAATATGAAAATCAGAATCAAGTGTGCTACGATCGTATTTTCGTAAATTGAGAAAACATCGTGACGATCCTGCCAAATTCGCAATGGTGGGCAGTACTGGAGTGGATCAAGTCAAACGTCGGCGCTGTGCCAACTGCTCCACCTATTGCTACATCTACGCCATCCAAACCCACAAAGGTTACAAAAGACAGCACCACATCACCAGCTTTCTAGCAATACAGGCTATTCACTCAGTTACACAGCGCGCTCATATGACCTTATGCAGTTGCGACCGCCATAAAGCACTTACTGAAATAAAACATTCAGTTATTACAACTATCCCCGACAAGACCTCTCACAAAAAAACCGATCCCAACTCAACACTTGTTGTGCAAGAAGACAACTGAATAATTCCAGCTCAAATGTGATTGAATGCAAAACATGAGGACAACCCATTTTACTGGGAAAATTAAGAAAACAAGCATCAGTAACAACGGATTTCACCAAAAGAAAGCACAAACGCTTACTAGCTTAGATATTAGCATCAGGACTAGCATGGCAGTACATCACAAGACAGTTGAACATGACATCTCACCACGTCTAGGAACTCAAGAAAGTCAATAACTGATCTCGATGGACTAATAAATTGCAAAGAGGAAGATATGATTTCCCTTATTTTGACAACAGAGTATGTATGTGGTTATTTCTGAAGTTATTGTGATTCCAGCAATCATGTCATGTTAAGTGTTTACACATGTATACCCGCTGAACTGTTGCACCGATAAACCATGCAGATACTGCAAAATCTAGAGTATCTCCATTGAAGGCTCAATATATTTGCTGTAGGGAACGCTGCAAAGATGCGGCCGAAGAAGTTTGAAATTTTACCTAATTTCTGAACAGATATCTGAAAATTATCAAATTCATTGGTCAAGATCCTGTTAAAACTTAAGAAAATAAATTTATTATTAAAAAGGCTTTTATTGTAAACTTTGATACTTTGAATTGGTTGTAGAACTCGAAATTATTTATAGAATATGACAAAATGAATCCTATTATGACTGTCCCTCTGGGTACATCAAATAAATCTAAAAACAATGATTAAAAACTACTGATACAGAAAGCTGGCTCTGAGTGTGGCTATCACTGGGAGCTGACAAGGGTTTTTGATTGCATGGAAATGAATAAGGTGTCCTTTTTTAACTTTTGTTGCAGGCCTTTTCTTCATATATACTGCTATTTTTCTCAACAGATGGCTCGAAAGGCGCTAAAAAGAAAGATAAACAGAAGGAAAACCCATTTTCCTTCAAGAAATTCCTGTCTGCTTCCTCAAATGAAAAGCCGCCAAAGGGAGATGACCGATCTCAGACTGCTCCACCAGACATAGCTAGTGATGTCCCTTTGTTTGTAAATAATCACTTCACAGAGGCAAGCAACAATGGAGCAGATGCTCTTGAAGATGATTTTGACTTCAGCTTTGAATCTGTCAGCCGTGTGCCTCCTCCTGATCCACTAGAAGTTCATGGAGGGTTCCAGTCAACGAACCACACGGATGCTCTTTCGTTAAGTGACAGTAGCTCATTCAATGGTGCTGGTCTCCATTCTGATGATATTTCTTCTTCGTCTGGACTCCAACTTGGTCTGCCTGATTTTCTGTCAGATATGGCAGCACTCAATGCTGGTTCCAAGAGTTCAAGTAGCTTACAGAAGGAGCGAGGCCGGTCAACTGATCAAAATGAGGATCTTCTCAGTCAGATAAGAATTGTAGGTTCAAGCAGTGCAGAACAATTTTGATTTTTCTTTTGACATTTTTATGGTTACCTGGTATTTGAAACATTGGTATTTGTCTAAATTTCAAGTGACAGTAATGTTGTGATATTACAGCCAGTCATGGATTGTTCTGAAATGTTAAAGAATTCTTATAATTTGGATCAGAATGTTTTTGTCTTGTCAGTAGGTGTTGAAATTTTAAGCTTTGCTTTAAAGTTTGAAAACAAGATAGGCTCTCTTAACCTCTGATTCTCTCTCCTCAATTTAGAGCTTTTCTGTTGATAATTCTTCCTCCCATTTGAGTATCAAAAACAGCACTATGAATGTGAAACTGTTTCATTATTGTTGCGTAAATTTTGCTGAGGCTTGCTAGCGATTATGCTGATTATGAAAATGAAAAAGATTTGAATGTGATGATGAGATTGTCCTCTAAAAGTTTCAGCATGTGATTGTATACTTAATTTTTAATTACTGTTTTTACTCTTTATTTTTACATTGGAAGCTATTCATTTATTTATACTGAGGATTTCATACTCACAGATGCAAGAGGAGAATGACAGACTTCGTAGTGAACTCACCAGAGAGAAGCAGAGATGCAGTGAAAAAAATCAAAAGTGAGAGCGGGAGATAGATTAAAGTTTGAACCAGGGCTTGTTCAATTTATAAATCAAAGTGTGCAGCGAGTTATTTAGTTGGAAGTATCATTTTCGTTGTCACGTTGATGAAAATTAATTTATTTAATTAAATGTCTTTGTATGTGTAATGTTTTGTAATCCATTTGTCTTTTGGATGAAGTAAATATTGCCACTGCAGATTGCATGCACAACTTAATTTTAGGATTGATCAATGGACACTTAATTTGTGAAGAATAGTCAGCTGAAAAGATAATTTTTGTGGGTGGTTTGTGGGTTATCTTGTGTGGTTTGCTCCTTCTTTCCTATCAAACATCTATTGTCCTGGTCTCTCCTTTTTTTTGTTTGTTACTCTCTTGTAACACCTCTAATCTTCAGCATTTATATGATCTTATTGTGTTGCAAGTGCCATAAAACTCTTACTAAAACTGAAAAGATTTCTCAAATGTAAGAGTAATATGTTTTTTATGCATGAATTATAATTTATATTTCAGGTTGTCTCAGTTAAAGATAGATTTAGAACGACAGAAAAAGAAAGAGGCTGAAGAAACAGCTGTGATGGAGAGAGCAGTACAACAAGTTGAGGAAAATCTAGTCACCACAACGGTGAGGCTTTGGTCTGTCGTCTATTTTGTGATTGAAAGATGGGAATGAATTATAAGGAAGTGATTAGTGATGTTTTTTGTCTTGAGTGAAGATTGGTGAAGAAAAGAAGAACACTTTGCTACTGTCCGACACATCAGACTTGGCAAGTACTCTTATAAAATGAGAGGCCTTCAAATCTTTTCTTCCCCGTTGAAGAACCCAGATGGTATTTGCTTGAATCAGATTTTTAGAAAAATTAATTTTCCGTTAGTAGTACTCAGCTTATCGTAAATAATGTGAAAATACACGTTTATACATGTATTTGCATTTATTTGTGTGTATTTGCTGTACTCATTTATTTGCCAAAGTTGGGTTTAATATAATCTTAATCATGAAGGCTTCTGAACACCTTGATTTCTTCCCACAAACCCCTATTTTTAATTTTTAGGGAGAATTTGGAGGAAAACTTCTATTTTTAGTCATGAAGTGGTTGGCATTTTCCTTTTCTCAAAAATAAAAACATGTCTTTGTATCAGCTTGACAAACATTTACGGTTTCTTTTTTGTTGGTGTTGGGTTGTTTGTATGTTACTTTGGGTGGAGTGTTGATGGTAAAATAACGAGATTAATGGAGTTTTGCATATTATAAACTTTAAGTTATCGTATAGGTAGCACTCCTTCCTTGGAAGGATATCGCATATTTCTGAATGCTTGTCAAGAGATTTCCTTCGCTTGTGCAAGTAATATTTGGCAAAATTGAACTATATTTGACAATAACTTGTCATTTGACTTTGTCTCTAAAATTATATCCTCACCATCGATTCTCTCCATCTGTTTCCTTTTTTCAAGACAAGAGCTGTGCAAGCAGAGGCCAGTGCAGCTAAACTCAAGCAGGAAGTTAAGAGTTTGCAGGTACTTTTTTCCCTTGTATTTTGAAAAGGGGCCGTTGTTGATTAATTGAATGGCACCTGTAATAAGACCCAAGTCTTGCTTGCGTTAGTCTCATTTTCCCTTCCAATTTGATTACTTGCCTTAGTCTATCATTTTCCCTGCCAATTTGATTCAGCTGTTTTATGGTAACCTGTAAACTTTGGGCTTTTTTGGAGATTTTAAAAAAATGTATGCATGTCGTAGTGGTACTGAGCTTTAGAGCTTTTGTGGGTGTGTGTGTGTGTGTTTTGTAAGCGCCACCAAGCACTTTTTGTAGTTTCTGGCGCATTATAAATTCATTTATTATTATTATTATTATTATTATTATGATCTTTTTGGTTTTCTGATGAAGGTAGATGGGTATGGGACTCTTCAAAATTCTTGAGATTTTTTAATTTTATAGGTGTAATATGATGGTGATGTATCTATTTTTCGTGAATTAGTTTTTGTTGCAAATTTTTCAGTTGTTTGATATAACACAATTACTTTCTATCTTGTTAGACAGGAGAGTAGTTTTATGTGGAACTTAGTATATAAAATTAGTTATTCAATATCTTGGATTACTTCTCTAGAATCAAGTGCAGTCCCTCACTGTGGAGGTAGAAGCCCTCAAGTCAGGAGATGCAGGCCTCGCTGATCTGCGAGAACGGACAAAGTACTCAGCAGAACAACTGAGCTTTGCAGCAGTCACTGCCGAGAAAAACCTCAAGTATGTACAGAGTCTAGAGAGAATGTTGTCCTTCTGGCCCAGTTTTTCTCTCTAAATTTTCTTGTCCCATAAGATGGGAAAGATATTATGCTGTATGTTGCTTGCATGTGACAACCTTCTTGGTTGATTTTGGATTGTTGATGAGTGCTTTGGTATACTTTGTTACTTCTGTAGTACCTCTTTTCAGTGACTGTATTACAGTGGGGTCCGCTTAAACTAACCAAAAATATTTATTAGGAAAACAGTTGTTAGCCCTATTATTACTGTCAGTGATAAACTTGCACTGCGTCAGGAGAAAATCTTAGGAACACAGGTGCACCTTTAGATGTAAGAAATGAGTGCATATATGATATACAAAGACCAGAAAAGTATATTTGGAAAGCTCTTTCAAAAAGCTATAACTCATGCTGAAAAATTTACAATTTCAACATTTCAACAAGGTCACGTGACCCCTGAAATCTGCCGCTATTTTCAGAAATTGTCGATGGCCCGACGAAGCGCTGGAGCAATCTTTTTTGTTATTGTAGCTCAAAAAGAGTTCTAATGACTGCAGGAAGTCTTTCTTTTTAGAATTCGTTCTAGTGCACTTTCTTTCAGCACCAGTGTATTTCTGTGGTCCGTGTAGACCATTTTCAGAAATTGGTAGTTCTGTAACAGTCTAGTGGCAAAGAAAGTGCCGATCTCATTGGCTCTTGCATGAAAAGGGTTAGCGGAAAGAAGACATTATCCCTAATTTCATTCTTCACTATTTCAGCATTCTCTCTGAACGCAAAACAGCAATACTGAAGTGAATTTGATGGTCCCGCTGATTTAGATATAAATGGACTCCAGTGTATATGATTTTCATCATGCTATTAGCCATAAATTTAAACTTAACGTACACATAAGTTACTTTTCTTGTAAATGATCTTAATATGCCATATAAAGTGGGGATGTAATATCTATGTGTGACCACTTGCTGCAGTACAAACAGGATTTTTGGATGGTTTGTATATCCTCTTTTATCTCTCATTCTTTTCTTTACATATACATGTTAATCTCTTGTAACATTTTAAATATGTGGCACTTATGTGACCTAATTGTGTTGCAAGTGCCATAAAACTTTTATCAAAACTAAACTCTATTGGGTTCATAATCTCAGTCTAAAGAAATTCTATTTAATATGCCATTTGGTTTTCATTTAGCAGGCCCTCTGTTACATAGCCTACAGTATTTGTAGAATAGCTCATTTCTTTTAACTGTTCATTTTTTTTCTCTTCTTTATAGTATTTTGAAAGTTCCTTGCTTCTGCAACTTTCCAGATTAGTTTTCCTTTTTAAAATATGTGAACAGGATTGGTATTCATAAACGTTGTTCACCTGAAAATATTAGAAGAACATTGTAATAACATATTCTGCAGCCTTCATTTTAGGAAGATGTGATGTAGTCGAGATGTACTAGAGATTTTATAATATGGATGACCAGCAATAAATTGAAACTAAATGATGACAAGACGGAAATAATGTTGAGTGGAAATACAAAAGCCATTAAAAATCTCCCAGAGCTACAAATTGATATTAATAACCATACCATTCGTTCAAAAAGAAGTCTTAAAAATCTAGGGGTTCAGTTGGATTATGATATGTCTATGTCCTCCCAAATAAGCCAGCTCAGCAAAAGTATTTACTTTCAGCTTAAGAAAATTGGCAGTGTAAGAAATTATTTAACTAAAGCAGCAGCCAAGACACTTGTAACAACACTCATTTTATCAAAGTTAGATTACTGTAATGTTATTTTGTCCGGTTTGACATCCGAAAAACTATCAAAGTTACAAGTACTTCAAAATCAAGCAGCAAAATTGATAATGAAACAAAAGAAATCAGCCCATGTAACACCAATTCTGAAAGAACTACACTGGCTGCCAATAAAAGAAAGGATTAAATACAAAACTGCCGTTCTCTGTTTTAAATGTATAAATGATAGTGCACCTTTTTATCTTAAAACATTCCTGGAATTATATAATCCACCTAGAGCCCTTAGATCAGCCTCTGACAATCTAATTCTTAAAACTACAAAACAAAACTACAAAACATACGGCGAGCGTTCCTTTTTGTTCTTTGGTCCCCAGGTATGGAACGAAATCCCATATAAAATAAGATCTGCCCCAACAATTTCCATTTTCAAAAATCAGCTGAAGCATTTTTTATTCACAAAAGCATACCTGTCATAATGATGTACTGTGATATATATGCATGTGTATGCCAGACTGTGAGACTGAAGAAATAGCGAGTGAGAATGAGAGAGAGAAAAAGAGAGAGAAAAGAGAGAGATAGCGAGAGAGGGAGAGAGAAAGAGAGAGAGAGAGATAGAGGGAGAGGGAGAGAGACAGACAGACAGACAGACAGACAGAGAGAGAGAGAGATAGAGCGGAAATGTTTTTCTATCTGTATAGAATTAATGTTTTAATGAATGTTTCTAGTTACTCACATTTCAACTGTATTTTGACTGTTCGTGAATTTATATTGCATTGTATATTTTTAGTGAACACATTTTCAACCTCACTGCGAGACTGTTTTTCTGGTATAAAATTTTACACATATGCATTTATATTATATGTATAATACTTTGTTTTACGTACACATTTGTGTCGACTAATTTTTAAGATGTGATGTCTTTTTCATTGTAATGCGCATTGAGCATCTTTTAGGAAATGGAAATGCGCAGTATAAATGCTATTTATTATTATTATTATTAGTCTCTATGTTTTCCTGTGACATGACAAACGTGAGAATTTATTTTATCTGCTTCTTTTCTCTCTTCAGAGAACTTATGTCAGGAGTTGAAAAGCTGAAACTGGTATCCCTAGTCCTGTCCTCCCTGGAAAAAGTCTCGGAGGTCCCTCCAGAACAAAGCAGAGAACAAGAGGGGAAACCATCTTGACCACATAAACTGTTGTGATTCGTCACTGTTTAAATTACTACAGAGACATTTTATACTCAAATTGTCTGAGTTTGCCTGTGGTTTCTTTGCCTTTTATAATCAAACTCATAGACAATTGTCACTGAATTCTTTCTTTTATCAATAAAGTTTTGAATTCTTTAAACTAAGCCTATCTGCTTACTGTTGTCCACCAACTTGGTAAGACAATTCAGAAAGCAGATGTAGTGTTTTAATTTATTGTGAGTAATTATTTGTGATCTGTGTTGGCTTCTTTACAGTCAGGTGATACTCGTATTTAAGTACGGTATCAGATAGTAGGGATGCCTACAAAATTGATGAGGGTTATTACATTATAAAGAAGTGCAGGGGATTGTTTGGAATGCACTCAAGCAGAGCTCAGCGCCATAGATTGCCTTGCTTTTCTTGTTGCCATTTTACTTCTTATGCTCAGTATGACCATCTGTTTATTGTTTTTCTTTCTTTGATTACCATGTGGGTTTGAAATGTTTGACCTAGATTTCCTTTTTAAAAGATTTTTGTCAAGTGTCATCTGTATAGTTCGCTCCCTGGTTCAGACATGCCAGACTAATCTTGATGGTGCTGCAATACAAGACTCAAAGGAGGCCTTGCAGAGGTCAGCATAGTTTCACCAAAGCTTTTACTGGTATGGAGTTAAGCCATGGTGTTAGGTTTGAGGAGGGCGTGATCCAAGATGGCAATCATTGAAATAGGCAAAAACTGCAGAGTCAAAACTTTGCTCTGTACTGTGTTCTCTATTCGTAGTAGTGTACTCACTGACAGATCACTCATGGAAAACAAAGTTTCTAGTACGCAAACCAAATGCCCAAGGGTGTACTGTTGTCTGTTTAGGTGAAATGTCACTATCAGGAAGGCGACTTAATCTTATCTGTGGTTTTCATTGTTTGGGCGACTTGTTGGTCTCTCCATGTGGTTGCAATCTTGACATGCTTTGATGGGCTATATCATTGAGATATATAAGTTAAAGAAGAACTTGTTTGAGTTCGTTTTTTTATGTGTTGCCCATGACAAATTTGATTTCAGACCTAAGGTCTTCGCATAACTCCACCATTTCTAATCTCATTCATGTGTTCATTCTTACCTTTGCTTGAAATGTTATATGACTGAACAGGATAAGTTTTTTCTTTGTAAGGGATTGATCAGAGTCAAAATTTCTGTCTCTTCTCTGTGAGTTTGATGTTTCTTTAAATGTCCCTCTGTTAGAGACTCTCATGTTTGTACACTCCCTGGTCCCAGGGTAGGTAGGATCAAGCTCCTAGTCTTCTCAGATAAAGATGAAACATTTCATGTAGAGTTGTGCTAGTTAAAAGTCCCTTGGTGGTTCTAAAATGGAAAAGAGTAGGCCCTTCCAGTTGCCATCTGGGCAAAATTCAAAATTAATTCCTACCAAAATTGAAGCCACGTTAGTCAGTATAGATATTAAGAGTACCTTTGAAAACAGCACATGGATGCCCATCAGGCAAGGGATGATTCTACATGCTATGTAGATAAAATGGCCTTGTACAAAAATATCAACTGCACTGTGAGATAGAGATCTTTCAGTCAGTTACCCCCTGAACTCTATCAGGGGTACACAGAAGAGAAAAGAAAAGACCTACATTGTTTTGAAAGAGACGTAACAAAATTCAGTTTCTTTGACTGGTGTAGAAATGTACTACAACAAGTCTGAACATTTGTCTGTGTCTTCCAATTAACCTTTAGATTGTGGGTAATTGATTATTGGTTTTTTATTTTCTATTGCATTTGTTCACTTGTTTGGTGTTCAAATCAATGTAAATTTTGTGATACCACAAGTTTAGAAGGAGTTTAGTGGCAATCTGAGACAGTCATTTTTGCTTTTAAGCTATCAAGACTGGATTTGTCCCGAGAAAAGTTTGCTGCATGTTAAGGATGATGAAGTCTTTTAAACTCAGGTACTTACGAACTGGTGGGGACATTGTAAATACATGGCACATAAAGCATTTTGCCGTGTTCTTTCACTAGTTGAGGATTGTGTGAAAATGTGTAAGATTGAGAGTTACTCTGAATGTGTGAATAAATTTGAAATAATCATGATGTATTTTTATGTATAACTACTGGCACAACTTTGAGGGGAGGAATGGGATGGTGGAAGGGGGTGACAATTTTTAGTTTTCCACTGGAGGATGGACAACTTCGGGTTTAGCCTTTGATACATTCGGGGATTGGGGGATTAGGGTGGTGAAGAAAGGTGGAAGGTTTGAAAGCTGTGGTACACTTGTTTAGTTTATTTCTGTGAACGATGACTAAATGGTCCTAGTTTTTATGAAATGTTCATAGTGACTTGTAGCCTTTCTCTTCTTGCCTTTAGCTTTAAAAATTTTGATTCTCATACATTTTTCTGAAGAGCTGAGGATATTTCCATGATAGCTATCCTTTTTCTGTGGCTGGAGGATAGTTTCATCACTTTAGAGGGTTAAAGAAGCTTAGCAATGTTTTTAAAGGGATGTTGAAAAAATGATTTATTTTTTTAATCTGGAATTCTATGAGTTGTAATTTTTCTTTCTTTTCGCTATCAGAGCTTTGTTTTAGCCAGCCTCCTTTGTTGATTTGTTGCCTAAACATGCCTTAATAAAGTTGATTTAACTCACTTCTTCTAGCTCTAGACCCTGAGGATGGGTGATTGGCGGGTGCTCTGGTGTGGTTTACTCCTTCTTTCCTATCAAACATATATCGTCCTTATCTGTCCTCCTTCTTTTTTCTGTTCATTACTCTCTTGTAACACTTCTAATCTTCGGCACTTATATGAGCTTATTTTGTTGCAAGTGCCGTAAAACACTTACTAAAACTAAAAAGCCCCTGAGGCCTGTCATAGGAGTGTCTCCCTTACTTTAAATTGGGATCACACAGCCCCCGCTGACCCCCCGGGGCGGTGTCACTGACGGAAGTGTCTTCAGGCCGTTCCCAAAGGGGGGACATCTCTCGTTCTAGTGCACAGTAAAATTGTAAATGGGCTGATCTAACAATGTCATGCTCATAACTGTGCTTGAACTACAACAGGGAACTGCTGTCTTTTCTTTCCTAATCCTTACTATCGTCATTTTCCTCTACTTCTTTTGTATGTTTGTCACACTTTTTTGACCCACTATTTCCAGGGTGCCTTGGTAGTCGAAGCAGACTTTGAGCTGTTGAAGCTAGAGAGGTGAGCAGAGTAAGTCTGATTCCCTTTAAGGACTTCTCTGTTGACATCCACCCCTTGGCGCTCATATGACCTTATGCAGAACATTACGAGCGCCGTAAAACCTCTACTAAAACAAAAAACCAAACTGCCCCTGCTGTGACATTAGTGGGGGTTTTTAAAAACTTTTATGGGTTTTGCACATAGACTTTGGGAACTTTGCTGTTAGCTAGGTTATTGTGTTGCAGAGCTTCATTATTTGTTCTTCTAGCATCAAGGTCAGTAATTTTTAGGTGGCTTTAGAAATGGGTCAATATTTGCATTTTAAGTGAAACAATGAAACTCTGTGGAGCTCACTCATGCCAAACATTCACATTGCAAACAGATTTTCAGGTCCTGAATTTATTCTTACATGCGCATGTGTATACTTGCATTTAAGACATGTACATCAATCGTATAACGAGAAGTTATCAGTGTCCCCACAGATTTCGCTATGTGAATGCAAGACTGCACTGCAGTCTGTTTTTTATTATATTACATCAATGCACACACCTATTAGTTATCTGCTGTAAACTTGTGTAAATTGTGTAATTTCTAATTTATATTTCAAAGAAGAAAAAATTAATACTTTTAGTTCTTTTCAGCATTTCATTATGCGATCACGAAAGAGAGAACATAGTTTGTCAAGAGATAAAATGTGCTGTCAGAGAGAGATTATTGAAAACCAAAGGAATACTTTAGAAAGGCTTATTTTTGTGTGTGTCCGCTTAAACACCCTTTTTTCTCATAACTGTAAAAACTTCATTTTGATTGGTGTGTTAGGACATTGAGTTTTATTTTTTTTGCAAGAAGCATTCAGTAGGCCTACTTGTATAAATTCAGAGGTTGTGTTTGAACAAAAAGCTCTACGTTAGGTAACTTGCTTACATTTGGAAACCTGAACTTTATCGTGACATATATTCTACCATATCAGAAAACAATGATGTGTTGCCTTTATTGTATTGCTCAGACATATAGTAATACTATCCTAACTTCATTTCTCTTTCTATATGTACAAGAAGGCCTATCAAATTTATCAAATGTAATAAGGGCAGATTTGTGCAGCACTTACTTTAAGCAGGCTGCTTTTAGATATACCATAATTTTGAAATATTAGTTGCAAGCTCTATAAAATTATTTTCACTAACTGTAATTTTGTTTTTTATGCATACAGTTGAACCTGCCTGAACGGAAACCTGTATAAAACGGAAACCTGTCTTAACGGAATCTCCCCGCTCCCCCCTTGATATATTCCTCTTTAATTACCTGTATAGAACGGAAACTTGTCCAACGCAGAAACGGAAAGAAAAATCTTCTCCCTTCCGAGGTTTTCACCTGTCTAAGACGGAAAAGGCTTTGCCCACTCAGCCCTGATTTGAAACAAAACTCGCAAGTTTGGTTCCGCTGGCTTTAAACTTAACACCATGGCCATGCCACTGGGCGAGGAAGGGGAGTAGGGGTGCAATTTGGGGGTAGATGTACCCCTTCATGTGAGCCCTGAGCGATGCAGATGATCAGGGTGTGAAATCTCACGACTGCCCGTTAGAGTTAGAGTGCTCGAGTAGTGAGCCACTACGGAAACTTTCTTGGGTTGACTGTGTTTGTTACTCCGATGGGTGGGGCTAAGGGTGGAAGCAAATGAGATGTTCAGACGTTTTTGTTTTTAATAGGTCAAACAGTGGTCCTATGAAAGGCAAGCACTGGTGGTAATTGGATAAGTAAGACTGACGCATGTCATAGTCATAGCAGTGGAGAGGTGTGAAGTTTTGACCACTGCTTGCCGATCGGACAAGTGATCCTTGATCCCACTGGCTGGGCCTTTGAATCCCCCACACTCTTTCAATCTTCCCCTAAATTCCTCTGTCTAAAACGAAATTTTTTTCTGGCTCCCTTGCGATTCCGTCTTACACAGGTTCGACTGTACTTTGGACCAGCATCTTTGGTGTAGTGATAAGGCTCTTCACCTTGTCTTAGGTTTGATCTCTAATGTGGAGAATATATTTTATCAAGGATCACAAATGTTTTTTTGAGATGTATGCTGTTCAACCAGGGTTGGTTCTAACACGTCAGCGCAACCAGTCTCCTAAATGATCAAAAGTTTATGGACTGGGGTTATAAAACGTTTAAAACAATAAATATGCTGCGGAAATAAATTGCATATAAATATATTAAGATTTGGAATGTCATACAAAGAGTAGCATTAAGCATGGTGTGGGGATAAGCTGTATGAAAATGATATTTTATTTCTATGTATATACATATATATAGCTTTTTGAGAAATGTTTTAACGTAGTGTGCCATAATGGTTATGGTGATTCATTAAATGATAGTGTGATGCTTTGGAAAGTCGGTCTGCCCTCCATTATACAATGTCCTGTCCCTGTTTCTCTTTTCCATGAAAATGTGATGTCATAACACCACTTGATATTCATCGCATTCCAGGAATAATATATGGTGAACCTTTAGAGATTTAATTTGGTCACGTAGGCTAGTTAACTCTGTTATGATGATGTTGTTCTTTGAAAATCTTAGCATGACTGTTCTCTTCATACAGAAATGTGCAATACATGGGACCATGTAAATTAACACTATGTATGGTACTCGTTCCTGCTCTTCTCTGATAATTAGTTGTACATAATTTTTGTTCATGAAATTGAAATAAATTGCTCAAAATAAAACCATGAGCTGATGTATTGACACCTTATCTTCTTACCTTTGCTACTTGTTGGTTCCCACCTATATTTTTTAATTGTTGTGGTTTTGTATCTATTTTATTTTTGCCTATCTACTTATTCCAATGTGTTGTTTCAGTGAGTTTTTACACACCACTACACTAGAAGAATGGTGTCTACCTCAAAAAGCAAGCAAGGTGCAATGCACTCTTCCCTTTAGTCTTTATGTATTGATTTTCTTTTTGCAGTTGCAATAGACCTTTGATGTGCAGTTTATTTGTCATAGACTTAATTGATGTTTTAGAATGGAGTTATAAAATGTTGGGCATAGTGGTGTAATCAGGCGCTCGTCAAAATTAGGTCATACAAGGTTTGGCTATTTTTATCAAATTTTTAATTTTTGGCTCAACCTCTTTTATGTCCATTTAAAAAACACATTGTGTGAATTTCAATGAAACACTTTGATTAAAGGCACAAAAATTTTAAATTTTTAGTTTCCAAAGACTTTCAAGCTATGGAAGTTACCAAACTTTGGCAGCCATTTTCTCACAAATTTACCTCTGAAACCAAGTGACCCCCACCTTCTTCAGGCGCTAATATCACAATTTCTATTAAAGATATGTGGGTAAATTTTTCAGGTAGATCAAGAGAATGGAATAAACTTTAAGATGATACCAATAACTCCACTTGCCCAACAATTGACGAGCGCCTGATTCCACCTCGTCGTGACACAAATATTGTTTTTTCCTGTCTGAAAAATTTTCTGGCGTTTTCAGGAGGATGGAGGTTTACTTATAGGGGAACAGGAATTCCATTTTGAAAATAATTTATACAGATTCGACCTCGACATCAGCTACACCAAAGAAAATGTCTGTAACATGATCACCCCTCTCATGGGTGTTCATGAAGGTTTCAAGGGAAATTCAAGAGATTTCAGTTTTTGGATGATTTGAGTTATGACGTCGGTTGGAAAGTTTAAGCAATTCTTCTGTCCCATCTAAGTGTCCAGCGCTAAAATCTGATGAGTTGCCCAATGTCATGCTTGAAAAATAAGCTATAGAGGCCTTCGATGGAAAAACATTGGCTGTCCAGCATTTCATTTTTTTTTCTCAAAGTGCCAAAATCGTCATCCTTTATTTTTTCCTTGTGCCCATCACATGTATACAATAAAATGCTGATAGCCTGAACTTCATGGGTCCACAGAACTAAGCAGATTTCCTAATTTAATAAACAGCTTTGTGTTAAACAAAGGCTACTGCAGTTGTTGGGCACTCTTATGTGGTCTGCTCCTTCCACATTTTTATAGTCCGATTCCAATCATACTGTTACAGCTTTATCTATTAATAATTAATGGTGAAGTGTGACTGTTTTCTTGCCGACCAACTGAAAACAACAGGTTGATGACAATAGCTCAGAACCCAGGGCAAACTGCGGTGTATACCAAACTGGAGTTATTGTCTTAGCAACATGTAAAAAATACTGAGTTTACCCGTATACATGATGGAAATAACAAATCTGTGAAGTACAGACACAAAAACTAAGTCAGTGGTTGGTTGGTGGGTGCTCTGGTGTTGCTTGCTTCTTCTCTCCCGTCAAACATCTGTCGTCCTTATCTCTGCTGCTCCTATTTTGTGTTTGTTACTCTGTCTTGTAACACATCTAATCTTGAGTGCTTGTATGACCTAATTGTGTTGCAAATGCAGTAAAACATTTACTAAAGCAAACAAAAGTAAGTTGTGAAGATGATTTGCTTTATATGGTGATGGATGAAAATGAAAAAGTTCTAATTGGCATTTGTTTGATCTTGGTGTCCTCTCAATTTTATTCTGTGTTGACAAATCAGGCATAGTCTTTGCATGATACATCATAATTACAATAATTACGTTTAGAATTTAACTTCACTAAAAGTTATTTTTTCACTCCTGAGCTCATGGGCTCTGTTCAATCAATTTTCACTTTCACCTGTGTAGGCATAGTATAAACGCTTTGCATCTCTTCTTAATAATCATAGGTTGTTTTTTTAAATGTGGGGAAAAAATTATAATAGCCATTTCTGTAAAATTACTGTCCTTATAAGTATTAATATGACATGCAAGTCTCATTCAACATACTAGTAGTGTATGCCACTTGAAAAGGAAATATCACACACGCGCGTGCGGGCTCCAAACGCACATAAATAGATCTACAGGTTCACACATACATGTACATATTATTAATTGATGTGTTCATGTACAAGGGGACTGGAATGCAAAAGTAGGAAAGAATGCACAATCCTGCAAGGCACCGTACAAGGAAAGAGAAGAGAGAAGGAGATAGGACAACATCACAGAATGGACAGGGAATTTAAGACGATGGGTGACAATCTGAGGAAAGCAGAGGACAGGGAGAAATGGCGAGAGCTGGTTATCAGATGCAGTGGTGCCACCACGGTTGCCCCAACCACGGGACAGAAGAAGAAAGCCTAGTGCATATATAATATTATATCATATCAGGGTCCTACTCATGCACGTGCGTAGCCTGAATTTTCAAACTTAATCTGAAGCTTTTGTCTTAGTCCATTATCTGATCGTTCATCAAGTTAAATATTTCCTTGAACTGCTTTCTTTTATTTTTTACTTTTAATTTAAAAAGCCTTTTTAAGGGGGGGGGGGGTCGTTCATTTTTCTTTTTTTTAATGGTTTTTTTTTGTTGTTGCTCTGTTTTGTTTTTGTGGGATCGCAGGTTGGAGGGAGGGGGGTTAACTTTCTTGGATCTGATGCTTCATTTTGTCGTCCGCTAGGAAAAGTAAATTTAAGAGTTACCTGCCCCCTATTTATATAAAAAGTTCGAGTTTCCGGTGCTTGAGGGTAGAAACTAGAATGTGGTTAAGACACAGATGACCATGACCTAACGGCGAAATTGTCCCTTTTGTTGTTGTTAGGTTAGTGTTCTTTGGAGAATTATAATTATTAGAGAATATAATACTCCTATTATATTATAAGCGAGATCTAGAATCTAGTAGTCTAGGAATTCATCATAATTCATGATCAGTAAGCCTGCAATAAATAAAGTATGATAAAAAAGTGCTGTTTCTTACTTACTTGGGCACCGAACACTGGCTTCAACTTTGATTTGCAGCAGTTGCAGTTCAAGGAAGTTGCAGGAATACAGCAGGTAGAGTAGAGTGGCAGGAGGCAAGCCCTGTAGATCTAGATTCTAGATCAAAATTCAAAATATTTACACCACTTGTGATCTTTTGTTGTTAGTTTAAGGCCACAGGCGAGTCTTGTGGCTATTCTCACCCGGTGCGCGTTCACCAAATTTTGCGTTCACCCTAAACCACAGAATTCTACACTGTGATAACAGAAAAATTGTAGAATTCTGTGCCGTGAACAAACGTTCCATTACAATTGTAGCCTACTAAAAGCGTACAATTTTGTCTGTGGGCAGTGGAGAGAGAGAGAGAAAGAGAGAGAGGAGTAGTGCGAGAATTTCCGGGCAAAACAAAATGGCGACCCGCGTAGTTCGGCTCGATACGAAAAGTTAAATAGCCGTAGCATCTTTGTAGACAACCAAATTAATTTACTTTTGTGTTTTAACATCATTTTTAAACTTTGTTTTGGTCAATTTGATCGTCCACACCGATAGACAGTATTCAGAAAGAGACAGAGAGAGAGAAAAGAGGGGAGGAGTTGATCTTGCGAGAACTTCCGGGCGGGGGAGAATAGTAATAGCCACTTTCTTAGTTTAATAGATATACAATCTAGATCTAATTGTACGAATAATTGCTAATCTAGATATTAGATTCTAGATCTAGATCTAGAGTCTAGTTATCAGTTGTTGTTGTTTTTTTTACTCATGCACCCGTCTCATGTTTAGGTTTTACGGAGTGTCTACGTACACGGTAACCGGGCACCTAGTCTCACCTAGTCTTAGTATCTACGTACACGGTAACCGGGCACCTAGTCTCAGTGTCTACGTACACGGTAACCGGAATGAAAATAAGTCAATATTTGTCCTGTGTTGTCTCTTGCTGAAAAAAAAAGAAAATCATACTAGCGTCTTGTCGGGCTCACCATCGTGACCAGTCAGTGAACCTGTGCGTGTGCATCATATTGTGAGTACCTGTTGGGGTCACCAAAGTTAATTGTAAGTCTTTGAGCTGTGAAGTATAGGGCTCCGGAAAGGGATTATTGATTTTTTTTTTTAAGGTACAGTCGGGGGATGGGTGGGGATGAAGGCAACACTGGATGACAAAAACTGAACTTGGGAGTTCTGAACTGCCTGGTTACCGTGTACGTGACACTGAGACTACATGCCTAGTTGCCGGTTACCGTGTACATAGATATTGAGGCTACAAGCCCGGCTTCTGTGTACATGACACTGAGACTACGTGCCCGGTTGCCGGTTACCGTGTACGTGGACACTGAGGCTAGGTGCCCGGTTACCGTGTACGTAGACACTCCGTAGGTTTTATAGGCCTATAGCCTACTTTTTTTCTAGTGTAGTATTTTGCATTGAACACGAAGAGAATCTATCTATATGGCCTTCATAAGTCGGAAATCAATAGATGTAACCCTAGGCTTGATCTATATTTTAGCTTTCTGTTCAATATTGGCAGATTTTCTGTGTCACTGCATCTTGCCCTCCCTCAGTTCTTACACCTCTCACACTCTACTTGAGCTATTCAAGTTATTAACTAAATTACTCTACTTTGAGTTTGAGCGATAGTTTCGTCTTCATGTTTATTATATGGATCATGACGAACAGACTGGTTATTGACAGTCAATATTCTGGTTCTAGGTCTTTTCTCGGCTCAAAACGGGATTAATTTTTTATATAGTTTATGTAGATCTAGGCTAATATGACGAGGGGAAAATATAAAAACAGACAGAAATACCAAAGTCACACAAGATCCCAGTGCCACACTGACATGTTGTTGAACGGAATGTACCTACATGTGTGTGTGTGTTTGTATTCTCAAACATTAGATGTAAATAGAGCAGGCACTGTCATTGTTCATGCCCCTGGAAAATGGATGAGCCCCCCCCCTACCCTGGAACATTGAGAAGCTGGGTTGGCAGTCACCCTCAGTGTTATAATCATCAATTGTAAAATTGTTTGAAGCATTCATTTAAAGGCATTTTGACTTTTAGTCATTGATAGAGGATATAATATATATGGGCTTTTTTGGGGATCATTCTTGACGCGCAGCGGCCATGTTTTTCCCTCTAATTCTAATTGGGGTCTTGAAAAAAATTTCCAGGATGTGGTGGGGACCCTTTAGATAGATTAGAGAATATTGACTTGGTTATGAAAAAAGAAGAAGAAGAGATCAAAAGGTTGATATATTCAATAGGAAAAAAGGAGCAACCGCATACTCCTCTTCCTAGAACCTTAAAATCTGTAGAGAATTTTATGAGAGATTATTTATGGTGAATTTTGAGTTCAACTTTAGCTTTGAATAATTCATTGTGATCAATGCTTTTTTTGTTTTGACCTTTTGCAGGATCAACAGTTTTCTTGACACCCTGTCTAGCTCCAGTTTCAGCTGTCAGCAACTGATTTAGACTTTTCAATCACCATGGAGAAATCAGTGACTTTCATGATTTTTCAGTTTCTGATGGTCTCAACCTTTGTTGAAGGGTCTCAGGGTGTTGTTAGATATAATGGAATGCTGAATTCAACTATAAATGTTGAAGCCATAAGTATTTTCCCTTTCACTGTGACTGTGGACAAAAGTTCTGAAATTTTCTTCAGCTATTCTGCTCTCGACACCAGCAATGCCTCCGTTGCTTCTGTTCTGTCTAACGTTTATCTGAAGGCTGCACTGGGAGATGATTCTATGGCTGAAATAAAAGGGAACTTCACCTTTCACTTGGATACATTACTGATGTCAGAAAACTTTTCTATTAATGTTGAGGGGAAATTGCCAGGGAGAGTCACCCTTTTCATTAGTATTGTTGAGCAAACTGCTGGTGGTCAGCCTCTTACTGTGCATGGGTCTGAAGAAACACTCGGACAGTTCCCTTTCAAACTTCTAATCGAGAGGGAGGAGAGAGGAATTGACAAAGCTTTCACAATTGTTGTTGTCTTCCTTGTTGTGATTGCTAATATTGGAATGGGCTGTAAGGTAAGTATAACTTTAATGTACTAAGTAACTCTAAAATAAATCACTTGCATCTGTTTTAGAAGATCAAAATGTGTTACTTTTTTTCAAAATGGAAGATAGTGTATGGTCTAAAGGATCAGGAATGGGTTTATGTATAGAGCAGCTCATCCTCATTGCATTGTTTTCTTCACAAATCATGCAATATAATAATTATGTACATATTCTATCTTTGTGCTTTATTATTCAAATAAAATCTGCTTCTAATTTATGGTATGCTCAGACAGTTTGTAAAATGACTGTGTAGTTAGTTTAGTTTTGTTTATCTGAGTGTCTGTCTTGCTTAGGGGACTGGTTGATTTTAGAAAGGCATATGTTCCCTTCAGTTGGTGAACCTCATCAAAAGCATGTACGAAGGGACAAGTTGCAGGGTTGTACATGATGGCCAGCTCACGGACAGCTTTGACATCAAGACTGGAGTGAGACAGGGATGCTCACTATCACCGTTCCTCTTCATATTGGCAATCGACTGGCTGATGAAGGAAACCACCAGAGGACACAGAAATGGTATACAGTGGACACCATGGACACAGTTGGACGATCTGGATTTCGCAGGCGACTTGGCGCTTCTGTCGCACACCCAGGAACAGATACAAGCAAAGACTTCAGTATTAAACAGCCTATCGGAGTCTGTTGGATTGAGGATCCACCCCGGAAGTCAAAGGTACTAAGGACAGATGCACAACAAAAGGAGCAGGTCACAATAACAGGAAAGGCCCTAGAAAACGTTGAATCCTTCTGTTATCTTGGGAGCATAATTGACAGAGAGGGAGGAACAGGTGCTGAAATAAAGTCCCGCATTGGAAAAGCACAGGCTGCTTTCATATCTTTGGATAGGATTTGGAAGACCAGAGAGATCTCACTTCGAACAAAGCTGAGGATTTTCAATTCAAACGTGAAGTCGGTCCTGTTGTATGGATGTGAGGCATGGAACGCATCGCAGACTTGTATAAAGAGGATCCAGGTTTTCTTGAACAGGTGTCTAAGAAAGTTACTGAGGATCAGATGGACAGACAGGGTCACCAATGTGGAAGTGTTAAGGAAAACAAGACAGATCCCAGTCTGAGATGAGGTAGGAAGAAGGCGGTGGCGATGGATTGGACATACTCTCAGGAAGTCAGGCAGCTGCATAACAAAGAAAGTTTTGGATTGGAACCCACAGGGCAAGAGATCAAGGGGAAGACCTCGTGGAACTTGGAGAAGAATCACAGAAATCGATGTACAGAAAAGTGGGAAGACATGGAATAACATCAAGAGGCTAGCCCAGGATAGAGAAAAGTGGGGGGTGTTTGTCCGTGGCCTATACCCTGGTGCAGGGTGAGAAAGGCAATGATGATGATGATGATCTGTTCCCTTTGGAAAGTACCCCAGCTCTTTTGAATTTACTTTAAAAAGAAAATTTTAATCCTTTTTTGGCATTTCATTTTCAAACATGCCCTTTTCTATATCATTAATGAGTCTTTAATCTAAGTTTTGTAGGGTGTCAGATAGTTTTGTCTCGCTTTAGGTTTAGAAATAAACAAATTTAATTTTCATCTTGCAGGCCCTTAGTTACCAAACAATTTCAGTTTAAGTTAGTATGAACTTTTTGTATGGGTTGATTATTTTGTTTTGAAAATCCCTTTGTTTTCATTTTATCTTCCTCAGGTTGACCTTGAAGTGGTAAAGACAGAACTTAAACGACCAATAGCCCCAGTCATTGGTCTTTGCTCTCAGTTTATCATCATGCCATTGGTGAGTTGCTAGATTCTGAGAAGTTCATACCTTTTTCATCGTTTGTCTTCTTTTAAGGTTTGAAATGTCTAATGTCAATAAAGTAGTTACACATTTCTTCTCTTAGAATTTTCCTTTGTTGTGAATGTTTTAAATCTCTGAGTGAAGACAATACTCTACTTAGTATAAAATACCTGTAGCATAAATTATAAATTGTAAAATATATTTTTGTAGATCCACATTAAGATTTATGCAGGAACAATGAATGCGGACACAAAGCCGAAAGGACTCTTGTGACCCAAAACCTTCTTTGTTCGAACAAGTCTCTCCAGATTGGGTCATGGAATGTTTGCACCATGAATGAAGCAGGAATAAGTTCACAAGAGGCACAAGAGATGAAGAGATAGAGGCTGTACATACTAGGAGTCAGCGAAACCCTCTGGATGCTATCAGGACAGAAGCTGCTCGACTCGAGGGAACAAATATTGTATTCTGGGAGGGAAGACGAGCACCATGCGGAGGGAGTTAGAATTATTTTGAGTAAGTATGCACAGAAGTCACTTACAGGATAGGAACCACAGGGGGAGAAAATCGTCATGGCTTCATTCACTACAAGGAATAAGAGCATCAACATGAACAGAATTAAGATCTACGCCCCAACAAATGAAGCCTCGAATGAAGACATAGATGCTTTTTACAGCCGGCTCCACGGGGTCATCGACAAACTGCCAAGGAAGGATGTCAACATCATAATGGGAGATGCCGATTCAAAGATTGATCAGGACAACGTAGGGTATGAAGGAATTATGGGACAACATGGCTTGGAACAAATGAATGAGAACGATGAGCGATTTGCAAATATCTGTGCTTTCAACAGTTTTGTCATCAGAGGCTCTGTTTTTCCCCACAAGAGGATCCACAAGGCGACATGGGTATCACCGGATGGAGTGACGGAGAACCAGAGCGATCATTTTTATATTTCACGTAGGTTCAGGCGTTCACTGGAAGATGTTGCAGTATAGAGATGGGCAGACGTTGGATCGGATCATCATCTGCTGTTAGAAAAACTCAAGCTTTGTCTCAAAAAGCTCAGAACCAGAACAAGAACCAAAAGAACAAAGTTCCAAGTAAGTCTCTTAAATGGACACAAGAAAGAGGAGTTTCAACTGCAGTTGAAGAACAGATTCCAACCCTTGGCGGATCCTGGTGAGGAGGACATGGAGGATCATTATGGACCAGTCCCTGACTATGAGAAGGCCTTTGACACTATTGACCGAGCAACACTCTGGAAGATACTGAGACATCACGGAATCCCGCAGAAGTTGGTTAACCTAATCAGGAGCATGTATGAAGGAATAAGTTGCAGGATTATACATAATGGCCAGCTCACTGACAACTTTGACATTAAGGCCGATGTGAGACAGGGACGTTTACTATCACCTTTCCTCTTTATCTTGGCAATCGACTGGCTGATGAAGGAAACCACCAGGGGACACAGAAACGGCATACAGTGGACCCCATGGACTCAGTTGGACGATCTTAATTTTGCAGATGACTTGGTGCTTCTGTCACACACTCAGAAACAGATGCAAGCAAAGACCACAATTCTAAACAGCTTATCAGTCTGTTGGATTGAGGATCCACCCCGGAAAGTCAAAAGTCCTAAGGATAGATGCACTAGGAAAAGAGCAGGTCACAGTAGAGGGAAATGCACCAGAAGACGTCGAATCCTTCGCTATCTTGGGAGCATAATTGACAGAGAGGGAGGAACAGGTGCTGAAATAAAGTCCCGTATTGGAAAGACACAGACTGCATTTATTTCTTTGAACAGGATTTGGAGGACCAGGGATATCTCACTATGAACAAAGCTGAGAATTTTCAACTCAAATGTGAAGTCAGTCCTGTTGTATGGATGTGAGACATGGAACGCATCTCAGACATGCATAAAGAGGACCCAGGTTTTTTTGAACAAGTATCTGAGGAAGCTACTGAGATTCAGATGGACAGACAGGATTACCAACGAGGAAGTATTAAGAAGAACGAGATAGAGCCCAGTCAGAGATGATGTGGGAAGAAGGCGATGGATTGGACACACTTTCAGGAAGTCAAGCAGCAACATAACAAGGAAAGTGTTAGATTGAAACCCACAGGGTAAAAGATCAAGGGGAAGACCACATGGAACCTGGAGAAGAGTCATGGAAATGGATGTACAGAAAAGTGGAAAAACATAAAGTGACATCAAGACACAAGTGACTCGCCAAGGATAGGGAAAGGTGGAAAGTGTTTGTTTGTGGCCTATATCCTGACCCAGGGTGAAAAAGGCAATGATGACGACATAAAGATTTATACCATTATTGGAATAGAATAGTCATAGCCTTGGGGTTTTTTTTTGGAGGGGGCGGGTACTCCCTAAAAGTCCTGATTTGGGTCAAATTTTTGGATTTTGAGATGTAGGCACACTGGAGACTCAACAACTATAAGCAGACGAAGACTACAAGATGATATATATTCCCTAGGAACCTATTGCGGTTTATGGAAGATGAAAGTAAATTGCGAAAAAACTCTCTACTCTGTTTTTACAAGAAGATATAACTATAAATCCTTCTCAAAATAGATGGGACCAACTTGAAAAAAGAGAATCGCTCAGTGTATCTTGGAGTACAAATTGACAGTAATCTTAATTTGAAACAGCTCACCAAAAACCTCAGAAAGAAGGCTATGAAGAGACTTAATCTCATCAAACGACTAGCCAGTACCAACTGGGGCTCAGACAAGAACACCCTGAGAGGCCTCTATTTAGGATATACTAGAGCTGTTTTTTAATTATAATCTTGTTCTACAAAACATTTGCAGTAAAACTACTAAAAATGTGATCCACTAATAAGAGAGATAGCCTTCAGGTGTAGCCGCGCCCCCCCCCCCCAAAAAAAAACAACAACAAACAACAACAACAACCCAACTCCATTTATAAAGTGGAAATGAATCAATTATTCCTTGTGTGAGAGGTGTGTAACTCTCATGAAATTGACGATGAATTTCACTTAATTTGTTATCGTCCAAATTTTGCCCTTCAAAGGAATTTGTTCATTCTTCCTAGCCTAACTCGGCCCAGTGACAGAAATATGCAATGTTTGACCCATGATAAGAGATATGTAGGCCTACACAACCTGCACTTTTTCATGTCCCCTGTTCTTTTTCGTTCCTGAAATCTCCAGATTGCCTTTGCGTTTGCCTACAACCTGGATCTGGATCCTGGCATAGCTTTGGGGTTTTTTGCTCTTGGCTGCTCCCCAGGAGGTTCTGCTAGCAACGCATACACTCACTTCTTAGGAGGAAGTGTCAGCCTCAGTGTGACCATGACCTTGGTTAGCACTATCGCAGCCCTTGGTAAGTTAAGATTTTTTTAGCCCGTGTTTCTGTTTTTTAAACTGTAAATGAATATATAAAGAATTTTTTTGTGGGGTGGGGGGGAATTGTTCCTGAAAGCCTATGGGAAATGGATGTGCAAAGTATATGAACATGATTTTGGATGACTGACAATAGTAGCAGTGGCAATTTCTTACGTAGGCTCTAACGACCATCTATTGCCGTATTATGTTATTATTGGTGATGTGCAATATGATGACCCTGACAAATTTTTTTTTTTCCCCCCTCTCCATTTCTAGATTTAATTAGTGGCGTCAGTGGCCTAGTGGTTAGGCAGGCGGACTCGTAATCGTGAGATTGTGGGTCGGGGGTTCGAGCATCGAGCTCGAGCCGACGTTGTGTCCTTAGGAAAGACACTTTGAACGAATATCCCACTTGGCTCGGTCCTTTCGGAGACGGACGTTAAACTCGGAGGCCCCGCCTCTTAAATAACCTAATAGTGTTGATAGGGGCGTTAAACCTATACCATTTCACCATTTTCACCTTGATTTAATTATGACTTATACAAACTGATTTCTCACACATCTTAAATGTGTTACACAGGGTTGTTGGGTATGAGCTTCTCTACCCAGTAATATTCCTTCCCTTAAGGTAAAGAGAGGAACACCCCCCGGGGCGCTGCTACTGACTGAAGTGTCTTTAGGCCATTCCCAAAGGGGGGACATTAATATGTTCTTAGGCGCAGTAGAATTTGTAAGTTGTAAATGGGCTGATTCATCAATGTCGTGCTCATAACTGTGCCTGAACTGCAACAGGGAGCTGCTGCCTTTTCTTTCATAATCATAATCCCTACTATTGTCATTTTTTCCTCTACTTCTTTTGTATGTTTATCACTCTTGTGTGACCCGCTATTTCCGGGGTGCCTTGATAGTCAAAACAGACTTTGTGCTATTGAAGCTAGAGGTGAGCAGAGTAAGCCTGATTCCCTGTAAGGACTTTGTTGACATCACCCCTTGGCGCTCATATGACTTTATGCAATTACGAGGGCCGTAAGCCTCTTCTAAAACTAAAACTAAAAGAGAGGAAGACAAGCACAATGCCATTTTTTTTTTTTTTTTACTTTACTCAGCTAAGAAAAACAGCACACAGATAGATCTAGTAGAGAGATAGGAAAAATGTATAGTGTACCAGTAGTGCCTCTTCGCCTTAGCTTCCCAGTCATGGAAATAAAAAAATTATGTAAGGATGGAAGTTCTGTACAATTCGCATACATAACATTGATCATGAAGCTCTTTTCAAGTAGTTTTACAAAGTTGAAAGACAATGACTTGTAGAACAAAAAATGTGTTAAGTATGGTAGTATGATGTCATCAAACAGCTTGCTTTGGTCTGTCATTTGCTGTGAATCGTGTTAATGTTATTCTCCTGGATTTGTATTTTTGGAAATTTTGTTTTTGATTCAACCCTTCTACAACTGCACAGTCCTTCACCAAACTTGCACAAAAAAAGACTGTCCTGGCCGAAATTGACTTTCATAGAATAGCACTGTTCTTGCTTTAACCGGCCAACCACTTCCCATCCCTATTTTTTACACTTCTGCATTGATATCTTGCAGCATAGGGCAGTGTTTATTTGTAGAAGGTAAACACATCACGGCGTCACTTTTCGCCCGATTCTGTTACTTTTAGTTCACGTGACTCAGCAGCCCGCCGGAGCTCCCCGGCTCGGGGTCACGGGGTTAATGAGCCCTGAGGCGACTTTGCCGGTGTCGGTCGGGAAGTTCGCATTTTTGACTATGTTTAAAACTATATAACTTCTTCCCCATCCCACACAGCAAACCATTACGCAAATGTACTAAAAGCTCAATGTCTTGAGATTTATTCTGCGTTAGAATGGTTAGTTTCTGTGCCTTAGTTTTTGTTTGTAGACAAGTGTTTGTAGAGTACCCAATTTGTCCTATTTTAGTTACAAAGTTATGAATAAATGATTGTTATTTTTAAAAAGGCACGACAGATCTCTCCAAATTCTGTGTTAAACTGACTACGAATATCATGTCTTTTACCATGAGAAATCTTAAATCTGCGGTAGTAGTAATAGTCAAGTTATAAGAGAAGAAAGATGCACATCTGCATATTTTAACTAAAGACGATCAGCGTTAGCTCTTATTTTACTATTAAACAAGAGAAAGTTACTCTGCGTTGGTTCATGAATCATGCTGTGTCTGTGGCAGCCTGCATACAACTAAAAAGATATAATATAAGGGATTTAAAAAACCACAAAACCGTGTAAATACATGGGTAGAGATAAACTTCTAGTATGGAATAAAAATAACGACAGCTAAAACATTCATTCTTAGTTTTTGTGTAGGAAATATGCACGGACACAATTATGAATGTAAAGAAATCAGTCACATTGTCAGTTATTGCAAATGGTCATAGAAACGTAAAAAAAAGCTGGAAAAGTCTGGTACTGATTCAGTGTCCCTGGAAAGCTAGAAATTATTCTTATAACCCAATTACGAGAAGTCATCCCTATTATTCAGTCAACTTACAAAACCTAGACTTAGCGTTTTAAGAAAAGTAAGCATTTCTGGAGTGTAACAGATACTGTTCGTGTATTAGATCTACGTTGAAGATATATTCTAGCACTAAAATCGATTTGTACTTTTCATTGAGAAACTTCATGATAACTTTTATAAACTTTCGAGAAAATATGCGAATATTCATGATTATATTAGACACATAAAGTTGTATTTGGAGGAATTACTTCGTAGCGAATTGTGTGCCCGATGGATAAAACTGCAAAATTACAGCCTTCTATTATAAGCGCAGATACCATCTTTTCTGAGTATCTGCACTAATGTTATGTCGTTCATATTCCAAAAGTTCGACAGATTTTGACGATGCGTTTTTTTTATATTGATTGTTTTTCATTCACGCTAGTCCCAAAAAAATTACAATTTAGCATTGCCGACTCCAGCGCGTCTAACGAAATAACCAGACAAGTTACAACGTCCGTTCTTTTTTGAGTCTCAAGAGCAGAAATGCGTGCTTTGGGTGCACTAAATGAGAATTACCATAAATACAAGGATGCACCTTAAATTGTACGTTGAAAAGTACCAAAAATTAAGTCAGCCCAGACAGAGCGGCGACAGGGAGCTGACACCCGTGACCCCGACGTGATAAGGCACCCGGCGGGGAACCCCCCGCGGCAACTAAAATTCCACTGCCAGTGCGCCGTGACATAAGTGGAGACCTAGCATTGGGTTAGTGTGTGCTCACATAGGATCCAAATCAGCACTATTCTGTAAATGCCTATGATTGAATTCACATCGCAAAAAAATAGATCTGGGCAGCGCTTAGGTCGGTGTTATTTCCATTCATTTGCTTTAACCCAGTGAACCTTTGCCGGGGCTAAGAGTATTAAGTCCATGAGGGTCAGGTGAAAATGATGTATCATAAAGTATATATACAGTTTTTTTGTTTGTTATGTGATGCACAATGTTAACGCAATGTTTCAGCTCAAGTTCTCCTGACCCATGTGTTGAATGAGTGTTTTTGAAAAGAAAAGTCTTTACTGTGTCCATTACGTGTCTTTATTTTGTTTCTCTTAGGTCTGCTTCCAATGTGGCTGTTTACTTTGGGTCAACTGGTATACAAGGATGGTGATGTAACTATACCCTTCCAGAACATCGTATTCTCATTGATTGGTATTGTGGTACCAGTGGTTATTGGACTTTTTTTACAGAGAAAGTTTCCTAAGGTAGCTGAACTTGCCGTCAAGATCGTGAAATATGTGATGATTCTGTTCATAATATTCGTGCTCACAGTTGGAATCTACGCAAATGTATACATCTTTTACCTAGTCGATGGGGAAGTTTTGTTGTCGGCAGCCTTATTGCCATACCTTGGGTTCATTTTTGGTGGCATTGCTGCTGTCGTTGTTGGACAGAAAAAGCCTAATATCATCGCTATTGCTGTGGAGACTGGGATACAGAACACAGGCATTCCCATTGTCTTGCTACAGGTGTCTCTGTCAGGACCAGACAAAGACACAGCTATTGTGTCGCCCGTCATATCTGCCTTATTCACTCCTCTGCCTCTTGTAGCAATTATTATTTATGTTCAGGGCAAAGCGTATCTAAAGAGGAAACGAGAAGCAGGGAAGAGGAAGGCAGGAGATGCATACATAGATGATGGGCATGAGGATGTTGCTGGCTCTAGTGATGAATTTCTTCAAAAGACAACACCTGCGTGAGTCTTGTAAATCAAAATGGCTGTTTGTTATTTGGGTAGAAGAGCATGAAGAGATCTATTTATTCTTTTTTGAAACTTATGCTCTTTGCTTCTATTGAAAGACGTGAAGAATACAATATGCTTCAAGCGAATCGTGCACTAAATAGATCTGTATCTTGTACAGTCACCAATTTTATTTTTCTTTCTTTCGATCAGAACAATTTATCATGATGCTTGTTAAAAGCAGACTGAAATAAAATACAGTGGAGTCCACTTATAACGGGTCCTGAAATAATGAGAAGTCTGTTATATACAGACTATTCTAAAACCCTGTTTTTTCTCTTCTTTATCTTGGTAAATAAGATACTGCTATAATGCAATCAGACAAACACGCGAGTCAGTTATAGTGGAATATTGCTTCTGCTGTGCACAGCTCATAGGCCTATTATGCATGTAAAACCTCACCAGTTGAGAAACTTGTTGGTGACCTAGCGAAACAAAAGAATGGGAGAGCCCACATGTGCCAACAATGAAAGACGGAGCGAATGAGTGGGAAGAGTGTGGCATGTGCCGACAAGCAGTTGTGAAGAAAAACGCATCGTGTGATAGGCCAGCCTAGTCTAGATTATCTAGGCCTACCATCCCTCTCACTTCTCCGATTCTGGGATGGAGAGGTCACAGTAATAACTGTAATGGATGGAGCGAATGTGTGACGTGCACGAGCAGACGGAACGCACCACAGGGTGTGGTGGGGTGGAGGACAACACAGAGGGCGAGTTAGACTAGAAAACTTTCTTTCTGATCGCCAACGCCGAGCTGTCAACATTGCTAGCGCTAGATCTAGAGAAAGAAACCTGATTTGATTTTGATCAAGTAAGACCTAGAGGTCGTGTTGAGCAAAATCAACATCAGGGGCGATAACAAAAAGAAATGAACAGAACACCAAACCCATCGATTTTGCCTACTTTATATTTCCTTTGAATTTATTGCTGGATCCTTTATTACGAGAATCCTGCTTTAACGGACTTTTCGTATCAGTCCCTTCCCTCTCATTATAACAAGATTCCACTGTATGTTCCAACTTCTTAATTTTATTTTTGAGTGTAAATATAGTTCACACTTTCTGAACAGCATTTCAATGGTTGTTTCAGCTCTGTACTTTCTTTTTTTTTAATTTCTGGTGCAAATTTGTCAAATATACTAGCAGCTTTTCACTCTCAATAAAGGGAAACACAGTGTGTATCTCTGGCAATTAAATACTTAGATTATGCTCACTATTTTACAAGACTTACCTTGATGAAATGTTTTGGGTCCCAAAATTTCTTGAAATTAATTATAGGCCATGACACCTCTTGAAAATCATGCTCCTGAATGTAAATTTTGTTTTTATTGGGATCAGTCTTTCTGTCCTGCTTAACAGGATGTGATTATTTATAGTCCTTTGAAACGCCGTTTGCTTTCTTATCATCCTTTTTTATAACAGCCCAAAGAAGTTTTAAATTTTTATCTTAATTTCTTAGTGAGTCAGTACAGCACAACATCTGTACCCTTCATGTTGACAGTTTATAAATTCTCAGCCCCCTGAATTTAACAGGGTCCCTTTGTACTATTCATATCTCTCTCTCTCTCTCTCTCTCTCTCTCTCTCTCTCTCTCTCTCTCTTTCTCTCTCTCTCTCGCTCCGTCCCTCCCTCTCTCTCTGTGGATATTGAAGTTAGGAAGACCAATAAATGAGTAATGTTTAAGAACTGAAATTCAAAATATTGTAATAATACTATACATTTCTTTTGTTTCTTAATGTGCTGGTTTTAACAGAACTACATGAGGCAACTGATGACAATCTAAATTTCTGTGATATTACCGATTACTTGTGTGATCCATCATGTATGAAATAGTATATGGAATTAGTTATTGCGTAGAGGCTGTGGGTGTCTGTGGTGACATTACTACTCCTTTTCTATTGTATGCAGAAGACATGAGTTTGATTCCATCTAGAGAAAGTTATTTAATCATGCGTCACCATTTTTCTGCTGGTATACTGTGTCCCACTCAGCCCAGTTTGGTCCTGACAGGAAGCTTCAAAGCCATGTTGCCCAGTTCTTAAATGATGATTTAAAAATCATTTAAACTGTTTGACTGTTTAATGTTAGGGTTAGGTTTTTTGTTTGGGGGGGGGGGGGGCAGAGTGGAGATGGGGAGTAGAACAATTATATTCACGGTCATAAGTGGCATTTCTGGAATGTTTTAGTGTCCCAATATATCAATAAGTATAACCATTATTATCTTTTCTGTTTGTGTAGCAGTGAAAGGGTTAATGAATGAGAGGAGATCTGCAGAGCATGCAGCTGGTCTAATTGTACATGTATGTATGGTATAACTAGTGTTTAATTAACCCCTTCGTTGCCTTTTGGTACGTCATGAAAATGGGTGATTTTTTGCGCTGTGCCGTACCATGTACATCACGAAAGTTTGCCGCTCCTGGTTGCCTGACGTTACATGTATGGCACGCTAATAACCTGGCTATAATTCTTCTGTACAGAGTTTAAGCCACAAGCACTGTGTAGATTCTTATTCGGGAATAGGGGACGCTACTATTTATTTACTGCTAGGCTTGCAAGCGATTGACATCGATAATGGTAGATCTAGGCTTGTGGGCAGGCGCATGCTTTCGTAAAACGTAAACATCAAAATGAATAATAAAGAGTAGGCTTTTGGGTTGTTGTTTTTTTTTACTAAGTAAAACTCAAAACATTGATGTCTTCCCAACAACATATCAGCACATCCATGGTTGACTGTAAATCACCACAATGTCAATGATGAGTTTTCCAAGTTTGTTTCTTACTGTGCTTGTGACTCTCTTCATAACAACAGCCGCTCCATAGTCTTTCTTAGGCGCTATTTTCCATTTTGCAGCAAGGAGAAAAACTAAAACGAAAGAAAAACTCTTACAGTATACTTTTACTCTCACGCTCATAGTATTAGTAGCCTACCAAGCTGTGTTGTGCAGGCGAACCAGGTTTGATTCTGAATCTTGTTGTGAGGATGTACTGATTTTCAACCCATTGACTGTCATTCCCTTGTGGTAATACTATACATAAAGAACAGCATACACAAACAAGAAAAAAAGGACACACAAGTTTTGAGGAAAATAGTCTGAAGTGATTGTTGAGTGAATCAGGACCAAAAAAAATAAGACGAAATAATAACTTTGAGGAATTGAAACAAGAACCAACACAAATTGCATCACTTAGTTAAAATTCAAGCTATCTCATCAAAGTTATCGTCATCAGGTTTCCTTTTGTCGTCGTGAGGTAGGGCATCGTAGAAAGCTTCATTTGTCGAAAAGCGCTTCAATACCTGCAAATCTTTGAACTTGGCCGTTGAAATTGCCAGCCTCTCTTTGTAAAGTTGCTTCAGGTCTCTCAGCAATGGTAGCCTGGTTCTCCTGCCCACAATAACATTGATGTTGGTGCGGAGGAGCTGCCCATTCCATGAGTCTCGGTGAGATACAGTGGTCCACAATGGCCATCACCGCTTGCTTCATTTCAGCCACAGTTGCAATGCTTCTCATTGCTTTTGTGTAATAACTCTGCAGCTGAGTTATCATGTCAGATCACTGCTGCCCATATCCTTTTCGGCCAAGAGTTATTTTCTGTTTGGACTTCTCAGACACGAGATTACAAAGTGCCGTGCCGAGGCGCTAGCCGATGTGGTTCACGCATTCATGTTTTTCTACTGATGGGCTGGGATATGGGTCCAGACCATGAGTTTCCTGAATGGTTTTTGCGTCGCCGTCACTAATCATCGATATGTATCGGGAGACCATTTTTCAAGATTGACCTGCTCCAGATTCTTAGGGCAGCTTCTTTCTCCATGCCCCCACTAGGGCCTTCATACTTTGCACAGCAGTGGGGCTTATGAAGTGCCAGCCACCTTTCATATTTTAGAATGTTCTCCTGCTGAAGTTTCTTCCCTGTGGTGGCACATGTGTGGCAGTACCTTGTTAACGCTTCGTAGTCGACAATCAAACCTGTCTTTCTCTCTGTAGTGAGGCCAATTCCAGATTTTGATGTGTGGCCCCTTTTTATGCCAACTACCATCGAATGAAAGGTGGATGTCTTTTACCGCAGTAGTTTGTCCTTCATAAGCTTCCTTTACTCTCTCAACTGCTGTGGAAAGGCCCTTCAGAAAGGAATATTCAGAATTTCTGAAAAGTTACACAATCCAGAGTACCCCATACCGGTGGCTGAATCAGCAGTGACAGCTCTGCGATTAATGTCAGAAACTGAAGTTGAAAATATTTCACACCTATTTGAAGTGTATTTTTGGGTCTCTGTTTCACTGCAGGTTTCACATTTAAACAGCAAGTCAAAATGCCCCACCCCATACACAAACATCTCCACTGAAACTAGTGAAACTGAAAGTCGGCAACTTTCCACACTTCCCTACGGAAAAGACCCAAAAAATAACTCTGTTCTTTCAAAATCCTCAAATTAAAAAATTTAAGAACTAAAAGTAAGAAGAGTCTAGACTCTTAAAAACATAATTTAGCAGCCAGTACGTATGCTTGACTACAAGTTGCAGTCAAGATCTGCTAGGCTTTTCCTTGTATGCTTCAGCAAAAGAATGGGAAGGGAGAAAAAATACCAATATTCTAATGGCCTCTTCCTTACTACTTATTGTGTGAGATCTATCTATCGATAGAAGGAGTAATGTCGCGCTCCTTTTCCGTTGCTACCGGCTGAGCCAATGAGCGTTCGCGAAATGGTCACATGAAAGGATAATCCAATCCGGTTTTTCTACGGGGTTTTCAAACATGCCTAAATGGCTCCCCGTGTTGTTTCTGTACGATACCGAACTTCAGTAATTGTACGGTCGAAATCGTGACCCTTCCAACGATACCAAATTTTCGTATGTTGCTGTAGTGTAAAGCCACACATAAAATAAAGTCAAAGTTTAGTGTTTTCTGACTTTTTATTCAAAATTTGCTTCATCCCCACCTCTTTCAAATGCATTTTTGAGTGATTTAGAGGTGTTTTTGTGCAGTGAGGCCTCCAAAATTGTATTGTCGACATATTTTTCTCCAATAATATTGGAAATCCTGAAAGTCAATTTTTAAAAACTTTTTTACACTTTTTTACCCCAACATTGAAAAATTGTGGCAGATTGATACTGTGAATTCCCTTAACACTTGAGACATTAGACTGCTGTCCTGGGTAAGGAGCTCAGCTGAAAATCAGCACTGACAGTCAGTAGGAATGCATACCCACTGGCAACAAAAGGATTAAACATGATAGACCTTACTGTGAGCCTTACTGATAAACTTTCCTGAGGTTTTTTATTCTGTTCTTCTAAATAAGATATTTGAACAAAATGTTTATAAATTTTTATTAGCATTTTGTTTGGTAACCACGTTGTATTAATATTACCCTTTTCTTTGACGTGTTTGTTCTTATGTGCAGTGTAGGATATATTACAGTTGGATCAGTGTTCT